AAAAGAAAAGGGACACAATCAAAAACGTATCTGGGTTTGATTTTTGGGCGATGGAACTTTTATGGGCCATGGTTTTTGCATGGTGGCCTAACTGAGAAAAGTTTTTTCGAATTAGTTTGAAAGGCCCAAACCTAAAGAGAGCAAGGACAAGTTGAAGTCCAAGGTCAAATGCTGGGCCAAGCCTATTTGAGCACTTCACGAGTTCACCCACGAAGAAGTAACCCAAGCAAGAGACAGGAAACCTTTGAAGGTTAGGCTATTGGGCCCAAAAGGACGAACTCTATAGTAGCGGGTCAGCTGCAATGGGATCGAAGGGAAGCCCATTTCCCTTGTTCCAATTTAAAATTTAGTACGTCAAGACAGAAATGGGCCCTAGTCAAGAAAAAGGCCTGGGCTCTATTCCAAAAAACATTATTTGCGAAACCTTTTGCCTCAAAAAAAAGTTAAAAAAAAAAAAAAAAGAGTTAGTCATTGAAGGAGACAATCTGGTGTCTAAAATGTTGTGATAATTTTAGAAAAAAAATGGGGAAAAGTGGATTGCCATTTTTGGGTGCTAGAGTAGAGTGAATGTTTTAATTCGTGTTGATTTTTACTATTTTTAAAGCTTTTCTTTCTTTCTTTTTTGTCTCTCTCTCTCTCTCTTTTTTAGTAATTAAATAGTATCATGTGATCTATCCCACTCATATAAGAGTCAATTTAGTGAATTTTCCATCTTGGTTGCGGAATTCGCCATTGAAAGAAAATGTTTATAAAAGCATTTCAAACTTTGCTTCCTCTTTGAATGTCCAATGAAATTTAACTTTTGAGAGTGACTTCAATCATGAAGACCTTTGAGTCAATGCTAACCTTCTCAGAGTCTTGTTTCTAATAAAAAATGTATTAGGGTTTGAGAACATATTTAATTTCTACGAATATAGGAAAGAGATACCTTTGAATTCATGGTCATACTAATTAATCTAGTGGGATCATATCATTCCTACCTCAATTATGTTTTGAGAATGACAACAATAGACTTCAAAAGTCTTTCTTCTTGGATGCATTTTCATATGTATATTTATTACGTTTATAGGGGGATAATGATATGCAAATAACTTTTTTTTTAAAGTTTATTTATAATTTTTACATATTATTAAATTAGTTAATATAAAATAATATTATAAATTTTAGTAAAGTGAAAGGAATTAGTTATTAAATGATATATAAATTATAGGGATTGGAAAAATCAAGATATCTTGATAATTAAAATATCAAAACTTATTATGAAATTATTTAAATATTCTTTAGAAATCAACAAACATATAATAAATATTTATTAAAGATATTTAAATAATTTTATAGAGAGTCATGATATTTAAGATTTCAAGATGCCTTAATTTTTACCTTTTTCTAAATTATAAAGTTGTTTGAAAAAAATCAAATGTAAAAGTTATTCCATAATCATTTCCAATTAACATGCCTTAATGAATGAGTTTTTGAGGAAATGATTTTTCATAATGAGCTCATTTCAACATTTTACTTTTAAAGTACAGTTTATCTTTAAAAGTCAATTAGAGATATTAATTTGTGATAACTGTTTATGAATATGAAACATTAATTATTGTTAATTAAAATCATGACAATCATTGAAGATTAAAAAAAAAAATTAATTGTAGAAGCCTAAAATGAAATTTTCGACTGGGCCAAGCAGACTATAAAATTGAATTCAAAGTCATAGCATGTTGTCTAATTTAGTTTGTATCATCACGTGTGTAAAGTTCTTCCAAGACATTTAAATCAAAGACAATGTGCTAGAAATTTTGGTGCATCCATCCCAAACCAAAATTTGAAACATGCTTAAGAAAAGCTGGTCCATGCATTTTTTTTTCAAAGACTGCTACAGGTTAGGAAAGTTGTGGTACTGCAAGAAACTCATGAATCACTCATATTCCTTGAATTTTCCCCGATTCCTCAACTACTTTCTTTCTACGTTTTGTGGTCCATGATTTTCCCATCTTTATCCCAATTAACTAGCCTTCCAACCAATTAATCAGGACGAAATTATGATAATTAATAATCTTGCATTATCTCCCCGTCAGAGACTGTTACCAAACTCCCTCAATTGGCTCCCATGAACGAAAAGGAATAATCAACAGGGGTTTCCCTTGTTTGGAAGGAGAGAAAAGATGCCTAACGCAAGGCTGCTTTATCCAAAACTCGGTCTACAACATGACAGGCCACCTGAAACCCTAACAAATTTTGTTTCTTTCGCATGAATGAGATTGCTGGAAATGTAGGATTCCACATTAGGACAATGACCGCGACATCTCCTCTGCCAAGACAGAGCTCTAACATGGCAATGCGCCAAAACATATACTAGAGTACTCAGGTTTTGCCCGAATCATCTATCATCATGAAATTGTATTTGCTAGCTAGCTAGGTCGATTTTTCAATTTATTTTGCCGATCTATGGCTAGAATACTCAGCATGCCATCCGACAAAGGAAAAAGGGGGAGGAGGGTCAGCAGAGAAAGTTTGATTTACATAAGGGGAAGGGACAAAGGAGGACCACATAGGCTGCTTGATAAGTCGGAATCATGAGGTATGAAAAAACGAGTTGAGGGAAAGGACACTTAGGTGGCACCTAATTAAGGAAATCTTTTGAGATTTTCTGTCACCTATGTGAAAGGAACAAGAGAAGAAACCCCACCATTCGAGGGATTGTGAGGTGGCGTTTCTCGCGAAGGCCAATTATCATGATTTTTCTTTTCTTCTTCTCATGAAAAAGGTTTACCAAAATTTAATTAAGTTGTCAAGTGAAAAATGAATGTAAAAGGCACTTAGTATGTCCAATAATATGCAGTGGAAAGGAATAAACAAAAAAAGCTTTAGATTCAACTACTATGTTAATAACCGTTTGACCACCTATTAAAACTATCGAGGCGAGGCGGCCGTAAAGGGTATGTATGAACTTAAGACATTAGACCTCTCTTGGGTCTACAAAAAGTGTCCTTGGTGGGGCTTTGGTCAAATCATTGACATGTTGGGTTCCCTCTTCATTTTTCAAGGATTTTATGCACCACAGATCTGCCGGACAGGAGAGAAATTCCCAGTGTGGGATGTGAAGTTTCACTCTATCACCTCCTCCGACTTCGGTAACAATAACCTTACAGTCCTCAGACGACTTTATAGCAAGGTTGTGCACAAATTTGCATAGGGTACGCATCAGCTTCCCGGACGCCTGGCCTTCCCGGTGCAATCCGTACACAAAGAAGAACCCGAATGGATGGAAAAAATCCGGCATGTCCCGTAGCTTGAAGCAGCTTGGAACCAACTTAGCCATTAATCTAGAACTCTTCGTGTAAATGAAGCAAGAAATTGGTGCCTTTTCTAATCTCAATTTGAAAAGCTCCCCACTGTTCCATACACTTAGCATTGCCCAACTACTCGGAAACTGTCCATTTGAATAATCCCATGATTCCCCCCTTGGATAAGCCACCCACGTCCCCAAATTCAGCTTGCACCTCAAAATACTATCTATATCATCCGGAAAGAACTCCATTGAGGACATAAATCTGCGGTAGACCACCTCTGCTTCCTCTGCCATTAATTTTTTAATCTCAACCGTTGATGAGCTATGGTACATTCGGTGGCTAACCGGATTAACGAGAATGGCTGGAGTTCGGAAATTAACGTATCCTAACTTCATGAAGAGGCTAACGGAGGCCTCATTATCCTTCGCCGTGGCCATGTAAGCATAATCAACGTCGTTTCCAATGAACCATTCTTCTAGCTTCAGCACCAGCCTCAACCCAATCCCTCTCCGTCGGTGCAGTGGTGCAACCCTTAGACCCAAGGCATATCCCACCTTCGTTAGGTTATGCAACGTCACGAGCTTTATGGTGCCTTGAATGACACCAACCAGCTCGTTATCCAGCTCTGCTACCTAACACAAAAACGGATTACATAGGACTCAGGAAATTCCAAAGTCCAAAGTTAAATTGAACGTCTTAACCGATGCGATGAGGGAACTTAACTTACCAGCATGATGTACATGGGACTATTTCGGATTCTGCAAATGGGGTCACCCAAAGTGTCTGTGAAGAGAAACACTCGCTGGGCTGGCCCTACCTCGCATCGCCTCTCGAGATCTTCCACTCGAGCTCTATCTATATGGGAGTCGTAGCTTCGTATCAAAAGCTCCCCGCACCTCATTTTCTAAAAAATTTAGAGATAGAAAGAAGGAAAGAAGGAGAGGAAGTGAGGGAAACAGAGAAAAGCTTTTTTTGGTCTGAAATTTGGGTTGGGATGATCATGGTTATATATGCGGTAATGGAGAGGGAGAATTGTGTGGGAATGTTGTTTTCAATTAATCAACATCAACCCTTAGTTCTGCAATGAAAATGCTACTACTGGACAAAAGCTGAAATGATTAATTAACAATTATTAATAATTTGTACGTATTGTTAGCTTAATTAAGCCAATCCACGTCAGCCTCACGCCAATGTGTACGCCTAAGGATTCTGTGGTTTTTTTTTTTTTATTATTATTAAATAAAATTTTATGACGAAAAGAGTTATCCTATTTCAAAATGTAATATTTACAAATTCTCTATTTCATAAAAGTCTTCAAATTTAAGGACACACGATGTAATTAAAAGTATTCGAATTTTATTTACTAGCTAAGTCAACCATCATGGACCCCTTTTGTGTAGTTGGCCAAATGTTTTTTTTTTTTTTTTTTGGTAAATTTATAGACACAAATTCCATCTTATTATAATTTTCTTACTTATATATATATTAACATATGCGTATATATTTCACCAAACCCTCCACATTTGATCGATGCACATACCGTACAGTCGGCAAAGCCAATATGTAAACATCTCAGAATCTAATCACAGATTAATTAATAATGTAATTTAAAGGGTAATGGTTGTAGCAGCCAAAGATGCAGGAGTTTAATTAGGTCGTGTTTAGCCGTACACGTGTTCGCTGAACCAAATTAAGAGATTAATTAACAAGCTTGGAGCTGTTTAGTTGAAGAGGAGGTCGTTTTACCATGGCACTAAATAATTAAAACTCCTTTTTTTTTTTTTAATGATTTTGTTGATGGGAATTAAGGGTATATATTGTGTGTGGTATTAATCAATTTGGGGGGTGGTCCATGCTCTCCTTTAAGAATGCTTGGATTCGAATGTGAAAGTGAAACCCCCACTCAAGCCTATGCTTACTTTCTTTGCTAATCTAGAACAATAATGAGGACATTTAATCATAATGCAGGCACTATGTTTTGCTTAAGGCTTTGTGTCCTAGCATTAGTGAAAATGATCACATCTAACATCTATATTATTAATGGCATTGATGATAAGTAAATTTAGCCTGATGCACATAAACTAATATATTTTATATATAGTTCTATGATAGATATTTTGATCGAACTTGTGTTACAGATTCCAAAAAAAAAAAATTGAAATCATTAATGCTCTTATGCCGAATTGATCATTGGTTCTTTGTAAAAGAAGCAATATAACAAAAGAAACACCAATTTCACATTCATGATGATAGTCTAGGAGAAACACCATAAGCCGGCAGTCGCTGTTATCCTCTTTTAATTGTTTGTTCTTGATGGTATCCAACAATCCTTACTTTTTTGTATATGCATTAATCATAATCACTAACAAAGCATAACCCACCCATTAATCTCACTAGAAAAGACACGTACACCTTAATATGCACAATTAACCAATTGCAAAGTGTACACGTGTGAAAAAGTCTACTCGGCCCACCAGTGAATTACAATGGGTCCCCCACCCACTATCACTCCAGTGTGTGAAAGATGGTTCATGATTTAGTCCTCCACACACACAAGTGAACAATCTGTCTTCTTTATGTCTTCTTTGCATGCATTATGTTGTCTACATTACAAAAAAAATTATATTTTCTTAATTACTATTGATGGGTACTTTGGAGGGGCATTCATATAGTTGTCCATAAAGGGGGAGGGGACCCACCTTTTTTGGAAAAGGAAGATGGGACCAACCCTAAGTCACTATGGACAATGTTTAGGTAGATTGGCTTGTTTGGAATCTTGTAATTGGGGGGTGTGGGGGCTGCATCCATTAGTTCTTCTATCTTGTAGTTCTGGGTCATAGTTATCTCTACAAAATGCTAAAAGCTCTCGTTAGTGCTCGTCCTTCTTTATTTTGTTTGCTTCACTTAGTATGTTCCAAAACCAAAAAGAGTCTTCACCTTAATCATAATTATCCATCTCAGTTTTGTCGATGCATATATAGGGGACTCCTACTATGTATAGATTATATTCCTTGCTACATTGCTCTTATAATTTTATGATTTGATTTGATTCTTTGATTCTACAACTGTGCTTTGTTCCTTAGTTCCCTAAGAAAAAGAAGCATGTTCCAAAAGGGTCTTTCACTTTTGCCTTAAGGATATACGTATTCCCTTCCACGTGTCATAGAACTAGGGAGTCTATTGCAGGTGTCCTAACCAAGGGCATTGTATAGGGTATAACACTAACAGTATAAGATAGTTTAAGAATATATGTTGAAGTTGAACCTAAAGTGTGAATCTGTGAAAAGGAGAAGGAAAAGGAATAAAAGGAAAAAGAAATGGAGAGGAAAAGCAGCTTTCACATACCACCCAAGAGGCCAAGATAACATAATATGAAACTAAATGGATTTGTAAAGTGGGAAAGCAAAATAGAAAAAGAGTAGAAAATGGGTGTGCAAATGTGTCGTATGTGATCGGACTCTGGTGTGCATATAATAGGCCAAGTGTAAGACATGATTGAAGAGAGCATTACATCTTCGCCTAATTTGACAATCAATTCTTTCATGATGCCATCACTTTCAGTGGGTGCTATTCAATAGAATAAGATTTAAAGTTTGTCAGGACGTGTTAGTTATCTATATTCCTCAGGAAAAAGTAGATGATTCAATCAAAAAGAGGGAACACAAGGAGCGAGAACAGGATAGCCACCGAGGCTAGACTTTATTAATGAGGCAATTTAGAGTCAGAGGGCCCAAAACAAACTAGGTTCAGGTAAAGACTGTACTAGCCCAAATTTGGCTATGGCCGACAGCTAAAGAGGTGTTCTTCTGGACTAATGGGCTTATGTCAAGGTCAGAGGTTATGCACACCAGGTAACCATATTTGCTGCCCGCTACTCTAGTCAGTGAATGGCGGTAGGTTTTGACTCTAATGTGAGTTCAGAGAGACTGATGGTTTGCAAAGTTTCTGGAAATGCCATTCTAATTCAACTTCGGCATCATCAATTTATTTCATTGGCATATAAGAATTCATTAGGACTTGAAATGTTATGAACAAGAGCATCGTTTTATGGCCAAAAGAAGAAGAAGAAGAAGAAAAAAAAAAAGCACCATCTACTAAAGAGTAAGGAAGGAACATATCCAGAAGAAGAGCCCTTTTGCATAAGTCAAGTGCCAAGTTTTTGCATCACAGTTCACATGAAAATATAGTAAAATACAAAAAAAAAAAAACAAAAAGGCGATCACAGGTGATGGACATCAGTGTTTACTTGTTTGTTAGTATCTTCACGTATATTTTCAACAATTTCCAAAAGAAGTCTTGAAGAAAGTAAGGGACTGATGTCTGTTTTCCAAATACCGCATCACTAGTCGGGAGGAAAAGTACTGACTACTGATCTGAAATCAACCCCCACTCTGAGCTGAGAAATGAGGTGCTCGGCCAAGAGGTATTATGAGATCCTTCATAACCTCATACTCTTCCATACTTATCTGCGCACCATCCAATACCTATTGAACCAACATAAAGGACAGAAAATAAATACACAAAAATGTCAAATTTTTATTATAAAGTTCTAAGGATACAATGACATAAATCTGCTTTTGACTCACCTTGTGAAGAAGCATCATCCTGTTTGTCATGTGCGGAGTAAGTGCAGGAATTCTACATACAGATAGAGCATCAATAAACAGAAGAACAATCACTTGCCACTGTTTTGTCCTGAATGCTGGAAGTGCTTCAATGAAAGACATTGTATCTAGCAGGCGTGCCTGTGTAAGAACATATCAGAATTATAAAACTCCATGATGTTCCTTCATCTAACTTTGTCCAGAATATTACCACTTAGTTGTATTTTCTGAAAGACTGTTGTGATGATTTTATTCTTTTCTAATAACATAAATGATCAATTGCACTTAAAGAAAGCTACTAAAATAAAGGTGCAGATTCAGTACAATTGCTTGCTCCAGTGTAGACACAGGTATTGGCAGCCTGAGTTCGGCAATAATTCCAGGTAAAGCTCGAGCAACACAACCAGCAAGGGTTTCCTTTATTTCAGAAGAGCGACCATCCTTTAGGACAATCTTCCGAGCATACTCCCTCCCATTTACTGCCATATACTCATCATGGGAACTTTCTTCTCTCCCATATATATAGGCCAACGATGATGAAGTTATCCATTCAAATAGTGCATTCCACATTGTGGCAAAGGTGGACAACTGGAGAACATCAAAAGTAGTGGAACCAATCAAAACACAAATCAAAATGAGAAGATAACATGGTATTGATGTTCTGTTTATGAGACTCACAGTCAAACTAAAACCTTCTGGTGGAACATCAAACCATGAATCCTCAGGGTCAAACATATCAGAATCTGGAATCCCAGGCTTTTTAGGCCACTTCAAAGGTGTAATTTCTGGTTCTGGTTCTGGTTCTGGTTCTGGTTCAAGCAGATTGGTACCCTCAGTAGACTCATCATTGTTAACATCATTTTCATCTGGATGTGGCAATATAATAACTCCAGCTTCAGATGCTGTACATGATGTGCATAACAAAACAGAAAACGTTGTAGTTCAGAACAGTGCCACTATGAAATCAAAACCATAAATAAGTTAATGATTAATGCACCAACAACCTACCGGCATCAGTGGCATCAGAATTCCCAAATGTCACAGCCTCTGCAGCCTGCCTCAGTGCCAATGCACAAGCTTCTGCAGACTCAAAACGTAACATATCACTGTTGCCATCATCTATCACACTATTATCACAAAATCGAGAACTTCCCTCGGTTGTTTCCATTTCTTTAACCTCACAAAGATTACCACATGCAGTACTATCATCAGCCCAAGTTACAGAACGGTTATTCTTTTTTGCATTTGAAGATTTAAGAGAAGGTTTAGGCATGGTCTCAGAAGATATGGCTTCTTTCTCAGCACGTAGTTCTTTCACTGCTTCAGAAGTTCCCATATAAGACCCATTCTGGTAAGCATTTGAAGTTGAAGGCACCTCTGCAACCTTAGGTTCACCTTTAGGGATCACTTTAATTTTTCCTTTAGATTCTTTAGATTTCTTGTCAGAACCTTTTTTCCTGGAAGAAGATGACGATCCTGATATTGCACATTGATCCTCAAACTCTTCAAGAACTCCTTTTTCTCCTGATTCCTTAGAGTTTGCACTGGAAACACTCTCTTTTGAACCTGAATCTGTTTTCGAAATGGTATATTCATCCTTCATCATTATAGTGCTTGTGAAGTCCATCTCATTAAGAAAGAAATCTTCATTCTTAATACTTGTCTTTGTACTATTAGCACTAGAACCTGCTAGAGAAAATTCAACCTTTAATGAAATCTGCTCCGAGAACTTTGCAGTTTCACTTTCGTCCCCTACTACTAAAAATAAAATTCCCACATCCAGAACTATCATGTGATAAGACAAACACAAACACACACACACAATAAATAAACTTTCAACCTCGAACTTTTTATTATTATTTAGGGATTCAGCAAAAAGTTAAAGATATAAACCTTCTTTTCTCTGATTTTTGGAAGATGAAATTTTGGAAACTCTCTCCCTTTGCGGAACATATCCTTCAATAGCATTTGAAGGACCCATCCATTGCTCCAGAGTCACGTCCCCAGCTTTTGTTTCCACATTCTCCTGAATCTTCAAATTTGACAAGCCTAAATCTCCATTCTTCCCCAAACCATCCGAAATCAGACCCTCAAACAGCCTCAGAATTTCATTAAGCTTAGAAGGATTCAAGACTGAACATCTTTCTTCTTGCAAAGTCCCGGCAAAAGTTCTGCTATTCACAACACACCCAGTAGAGCAAAACAAGTATGTTTCGTTCAAATCATAGACCTTGTGCTCCTTGAGAGAGATGCGATACCGACCCTTTCGAGGGCGTTCGGAGGGCAAAGAATTGGAACAGAGGGGGTAACCGCACAGGTTAACGATTGACCTCTCCGTCACAACATCTTCATAGTCGCTACGAGATATCAAAGACCCAGCTGCGAATAGTTGCTTCTCGTTTTCGATTCCATCCAGGAGAGCAAGTTGGAGCTTATGAACAGCATCCTTCACACAGAGAGATTGATCCTTCGCCATTCACAAAATTTCCCTTTTCCTGTAAACCCCAACTTAAGTTTGCTTCATTTAATCAAGAACAAAACCCTAAAATTTAGGGTGAAACCCAGAGAGACGATGAAAGGCGGCTACTTTTGAGCCTACCTCGACCGTAGAAGATTCGAGAAGAAAGGGCCGTCTGCAAGTTCCGCGCAACAGGAAGCGAAGACGGTGAGGAGAAAGAGGGGGGGGCGGAATTTTATGTGGGCTGGATTGTAAAGGTCAAACACAAACTTATGGGCTGAGCTGGTCAATATTGGACTCTCGACCATATTTATAAGAACAATAGTGGGCCGAACTTGCTAGAATTGGACTCTTCGCTGGGTTTGTTAGGCCGCCCATGTCCTTTAATTATTTTTCTTTTTTCCTTTTTCTAGTATCAGAATGTCTTATCGTAGTCGCATATTATTAAGATTAAACCCTCAATTTAGTTTTTTAATTATTTTACAGATCCATAATTTAGACTTTAAACTAAAAAAATTTTTAATTTGATCACTTAACTATTATACGAACCCTTGATTTGATTCTTATTGTTTACTAATTTGGTTTTAAGTTAGTCCTTTTATTAAAAAATAGCTAATGTGTCTGTTATTTAATGGTAAAAAATCGTTACTTAACTGTCGCGTGTCTCGTTAATAACAAGACAATTACTTAAATGTCATGTTTCACATTTTCACATTAATAATGAGACACGTTATCTACTTTTGTATGAAAAGATCAATTTGGGACTAAATTAGTAAATAGGGACCAAATCCAAGATTTTCCTTTAGTTTAGGGATCAAATTCATACAATAATTGAGTGATCAAATTAGAGATTTAATATATTATTAAATATGTAAAAAATAATATGAATCTTAATTTAATCAAATCACTATATAGTTATTAGTAAACACTCTAATATTTCTAATACTAAGATAGCCTGATTTTTTCTTTTTCCTTCCATAATTCCGTAATATTCTTCACAAATCTTCGCGTTAGGCATGGATAACTTATACCTTTTGACCGGATTGGAATCTTGTATAAAAATTAAACCTCTTGTTAACTCAACCAATTACTTTACCACAAAATTAGAATTTCATTGTATGATTATGATATTTATCTAGTGAAATGGATCAACAAAAATTTAATTGAGTTGATATTTATTAATTTAAAATTTTTAATTTAAATTCAAAGTCAAAAGTTGAAAACTGTTAAATACTAAATACCTAACCTCCAATGTACTTAAAAAGGAAATTACTTGGTAAAATGAAGAAGAATTTTAGCATTTAACTTGATAAAAAGAATAAGAAAATGACAGTTCATTACCTAATAACAAGACTTGCCTTCTCTAGTAATGAGACATCTCGTGTATTATCAAACTAGTTACTTTTCTTATTCCCTTGTCGTGACCTAATGCTGGTCATTGTTGCCCAAAAGGACAGCCGATGGAATGCACTCTTGATCTCAAGTTCAATTTCTCTTGGAACAAATACTAACCTATTAATTTAACCATTCTTTCTCTAAAAAAAAAAACCAGCTACTTTTCTTCTCTTTTTAGTTTTTATACGATTAACCAAACCTTGTTGAGAGAAATATTTACTTGTGGAAGTGGTCAATGTGAAAATTGTATATGTATTTTTTAACACAAAGTTTATATCTAATTTTAAATTAATTAATAATAAATAAATAACTCTTATTGTTTTAAGTCATATGCTTCTTTGTTATATTTTTTATATGAGATTTTTCTATTTAATAGTTAAGGCGATACAAACCTTATATATATAGTTAATTATAGTATTTGAAAATATTAGTGTGTAAACTGATTTTAATATTTAAGTAATAAATATTAATTATTTTATTATTTATCAACTAATAAGTACAATTATTAACTTTTTTAAATAATTAAATTAAATTATTATTTTAAAAGACAAAATTTAAAAATTTGTGTGGTCTAACAATTTATTGTGTAGCTAAAACTATTCCATTACCTGTGCTGTGCATACCAAATATAGTGTATTGACTTAAAAACTCTCTTAATTGGCCACATTTTTCATGGCTTAAATCCCTGAAAGCCCTTCAATTATTTGTTTTTGAATTCATTAGTACCTTAACATACACTATATAATTTAACTCATAAATTTCATGTTATTATTATAGTTGGTTTAAAATAGATAAAATTCTAACTCGTGAGTTAAGTGGTTGTCTCTACTCTATTACTTTATTATTGACAATGCCATGTTGACATAAATATAATTCACTTGGATCCATAAAGACTAAAAAACCCCATCCACAATAAGACTAATATGTGTTTTGAACGAGATCATGCCACCTTTATGAGTTTAAATACACCATATTTATGTTAGTATAATAGTGCTAATGAGGACATGGTAATGGAGTAGAGATGATCAGGTGATTCATGTGATATGTTTATATTTATATTAGGTTAATTACAATAATATCATAAAGCTTATTGGTTAAAATACACGAAGGTGTATTTTACGGGGTTAATTATCTCCAAAACAAACATTTGGAGGGCTTTTAGAGGGTTATGCCACCATTTTTCACCTAGAATAATGCCAGTGCTCCTTATGCACCATTCCTCCCAAAACATACCCCATCAGTACCTTTGATGTATCATGTGATTAGCTTTTCCAGCAATTGTGGGCCAACAGTTCATATGATCCTCGCCGGATGGAGACACAAGTCATTATTTTTCATTTCTTTTATCAACACGGTGAGCACAAGCTCGCATCTGTTTCTCAAGCAGAACCTGACCAACCGCTACCCTTAATGTTGTGTTGGTAGGTCTTCGTCAAGAAGCCTCATTTTGTTTCCTTACTCAACCATTTTCCCCTCAACAGTTAGTTCAGTGACTTCAGTCCATACCTCTCAAACCCAACTTCACCTTTTTCTTTTTTCCTTTTTTTTTGTTTTTTCTCCTTTTCTCAGAATTCTTATTTATGGTTTTGTGGCTTCGTTTTTTGTCCATGAAAAGATCAACAACTTCGAAAAGGGTAGTGAGCAATGGGGTTATTAAGGGGGAGATAGATTGGGAACTGAGACCTGGAGGGATGCTGGTTCAGAAGAGAAATGCTGGGGATGCAGCTTCTGGCCCCATGATCAAGATCAAGGTCTCTTATGGTTCTTATCACCACGATATCACTATCTTATCTCAAGCCACTTTTGGTAATCATCCTCACTTCTTCTCTGCGTTTTTGGCACTGTTTATATCAAAATTTTATGGAAAAATAGGTTCTTTAAACTGTTTGTTGAGAGGGGTGTGCTCTGTCTAATTCTTTTTTTTTTTGTCCATTTGGAGTTCTGTCTGTAATTGATTTATACCAAACCATACCCTTTTCCACTAATCTGGTGGGTATAACACTAGTGTTATTTGCTTGGAGTCAGGTTGTGTTTGGAAATCTATTGGTATAGAATTTAAAAAATCTTCTAAATTAAACATTTTATGTGTGCATTAGCTTCATGGAAATCAACTGAGTCTTCAAAAGTTTTAGCCTTTTTAAGACCCATTGTATGTATCAATGTATGTATTTCCTTGCTAGGTTGTTCCCGTTAAATTTACCTCTATTCTTTGGATGCGTTATATTAAGTCAAAATTATACTTAATTTGTGCTATGACTATGAAATTGATCCTGGATTATTATATTTGGTTGAAATGAAAGGTGATTTGAAAAGGGTTCTTGCAAATGAGACTGGTTTGGAGCCTAAGGAGCAGAGACTGTTGTTTAGGGGGAAGGAGAAGGATGATGAGGAATGTTTGGATATGGTAGGAGTAAAAGACATGTCAAAGGTGGTTCTATTAGAGGACCCCGCTAGCAAAGAGAGGAAGCTGCAGGAGATGATGAGGAATCAAAACATACAAAATGCCTATGAAGCAGTTGCCAAGGTTAGGGCAGAGGTTGATAAACTCTCCGAAAAGGTCAGCATCTATCGAAAAGATTGACGGACAGGACATTTTCTATATGTATGATGAAATCATGGACAATTACTTAACCTATGATTTCTCAGGTTGTTGCATTGGAGACAATGGTTCATGGAGGCACCAAAAAAATGGACGAGAAGGAATTAGCTGTCTTGACTGAGCTGCTCATGATGCAATTGCTTAAATTGGACACAATTGAGGCTGATGGAGAAGCGAAAGTCCAAAGGCGGATTGAGGTGAGTTCGAGTATGCAATTATGCTTGCTAGACCAAATCTTCATGCTTTTGCGTGAAGTTCAATTTTAATGATTATATTTGCAAGTCAGAATCCAGTATCAGCTTAAAATAGATGCTTTGACATTCATTCATTTTCCGGAAAAAGTTCTAGTGATGAACACTATTTTTAAATCCTCTACCAACAAGACACTCTCACTGTAAAGTGGAAACTTTTTATTTGGAAAGTGATGAACTTTTTCTCCTCCTCTTTTTTTTTTTCAATCTTTTTGTCAGATGGAGTATGAGTGTCCTTTTGGGATCTTATGCAATTTGAAAACAGAGATTTTCTTCTTTTGTAAACGGTATCTGTATCTAAATCATGTCTCACATGTGCCATTTTTGTCTGGTCCTTGTAGCTTTACAAATTACAACTGGTAAAGAAGAAAGGGACATAAATTACTCTTGTCAATCAAAGTGAAAAACAAGAAGGATGCTTTGCAATTCATACTCCTTTTAAATCTTTGTCCTTATTATAGTTGTTAATTATTTAGTGGCTCATTAATTCTAAAATACACAGACTTCTGTTGCATTTTTTACTCAAGAACAAAGTTTTGATTGAGCTACACATGTGAACCAATATCTTTATATGTATGCTAAGTTGGTGATGGTATATTGCATCCATGATTTCCACTCAACAGGTTCGCCGCGTACAAGGTTTAGTGGACACCCTTGACAACTTAAAGGCAAAACACTCGAATCCCTTCAGTAGTGGTAGTAATGCAGTGTCTGTCACTACCAAGTGGGAGACATTCGAGTCTGGGGTAGGAAGCCTGACTCCATTACAATCCTCAGCAAGAATAACTCAGGATTGGGAAGTATTCGACTAGGCAACAAGTAACGACTGCTGTAAACAGTCTAAATGAACCATTTTGCGCTATTAGACTCACAAAAATCCTAGTACAGCTTAAGATTTGCTGGTTTGTGAGCTTTTCTTTGATGTTGTAAACATGTTGCCTGTGTAGCAATTTATGATTGAGATATGCATTGTAATTTACATCTTGTGTTCTTCTATTATTATTATTATTATTATTAATTTTAATGTGGCCACGTAATGGAGCTATATTCATGTTGAAAATGAATACAGGTATGAAAAAGTTTTTTCATTTTAATATGAGTCCTTAAAGAGCTCGGTTTGTTTTTGTTAAACCAAATGTTTCCAGTCTTAAATAAGCTCTGCACAATTCATTGAGTTAGCCCTAATAGCTTGTTTATTTTGACTGCAAAACCACGAAATCCTATTGTTTCCGCAAAAATCCTCTAGTGGCATCGCATGTGTAAAATCTGAATGCGGGCGTGCTATTTACTTTGTTAAAAGTAAAAAAGAAGAATTTTCCCAACGACCCTCTCTTTTCTAACGGTCTATCTTCTTGCAGATGGCAGGAAGAACATTGCATTAAAATTGAAATATGTACCTACAGACGATTTGCAAGAGGGAGGGATACCTTCTTGCAGAATGGATTACAAAATTTGGATTACAAAATTTGCCTTTGACAACTTCAAGGACTTAAACACTACCATGAATTAAAGTTAATAAATCCTAATTAAACTAAATAGTTTGCAATTTAAAATAAATTTACGAGAATAAAATGTACCCAAATTAAATTAAACATGTTCATTGTTAACTTAAAATGCTATTTATTGACAGATTTAGAAATTAAACTGTTGCAGAATTAAAGATTTTACTCTAATTAAAATTAAAACAAACATGAACAGGAATTAAACTATCATGCTTGAAGTTGAGAAGAAGTGTGAACACCAAATAAATAATCATTAAAGAAATGCTACTTCTCATAAATATTAAATTAATTGTAGACAAAAAAGGAACAGTACATTGAAAAAATTTGAAAAATTGAAGTTCATTGCATGAAACGTAATTGTTGAAGTGAATACATGAATTAATGTCTGTTAAAATGATGAAAAACAACCTATATATATGGAAATTGTGTTAAAATTTGAAATCTGAAAGCAATTGCAGATAAAATGAAAGTTTGAAAATTTGCAGGTGTTTGAGTAGCGTACCGTGTGTTCTCCCTTCCAAAATTTCCTTTTTGTTCTCTTTTTGCCTACTATAACTTCCCATTTTCTGCAATTACAAAATTGTGGATGGTTTCTTGAGGTAGTGGGATAATTCCACAGTTGACTTGATCAGATCTCTTTCCAGATTTTCGCCACCTGTGCTCTTATCTAATAACTCCCTTCTATAATTGCAATCTCCTCCTATATTTCGACTAAAACAGTCCCTTTTTCACTTAAAGAGATAATTACATGGTAAAATCTTATATTTATTTCATTTTTTTGCTAATATGACAGCTGATCTGTCATAGAGCCCAAAATAACAAATCTAACATGGCAATATCTTCTCCATCCATTAGAAATTTTTGACATGTAGTATGATCTTAAATTTTTGCAATTTATAGTGTAAACACATATAATTTTTTTCCCTTATATCAAAGGGTTAATTACTTAACTAGTACAAAGGTTTGAATATTTGATATTAACTTTAAATTAAGATTTTTTTATCAATTTGAGTAAATTCTTAATGGAATAATCTACACAAAGGGATAAAATAATTGGACTGCACTGTCCTCCTTTTATGACCACCACACAACAAGTGTTTGTCCCTTATATGCATTAAAATGTGTTTGTCCCTTCTATATCCATAAATATGTGTTCTCCAGTTTTTTTTTTTTGTTAAAACCCCTTTTTGGTCCCTGAACTATTGTACGGATCCCCGATTTGGTCCTTGAACTAAAAAAATCCCTGATTTGGTCCCTACTGTTTACCATTTTTACCCCGATTTGGTCCTTCTGTTAAAATCTCACCGTTATCTCAGACAATTTAATGACATGTCAAACCTTTAGACACGTCAGTTGTATAAATGAATAAATAATGACATGGTAACGTGACATGTCATCTCCTTGCCCAACCCAACAAAAGTGGGACCCACCAAAATTACGAATTTGCCAACATCTTCTTCCTCCAGCAAACAAACCCAGCACCAAACAAAACCAGCACCGGGTTGAATCGAACCCAACAACGCCCTTTTTTTTTCCTTCCTCTTCCTTGCCTTGCTTTCTTCATCATCATCAAACACATCATCACCATCATCATCAAACACCAAAACCACAGAAAAAAAAATATATTTTTTACCCCTGGGTTCGAAGAACCCAGGCGTAACCCCTGGGTTCCTTGGAACCCAACCCGGGCAAGCGTGCTAGGTTCCTTGCGAACCCAGCACCTGGGTGGGTTCGAAGGAACCCAGGCCTGCTGGATTCCGAGGGGAAAGAGAAGGGAAAGGGGAAGGAGAAAGGGAAAGGGAAAGGAGAAGGAGAAAGAAAAAGAAAAAAGAAAAAAAAATTTAAATTTTATTTTTCATAATATTTTTTTATATTATTATTTTTTCCACATCATCACTTTTTGATTATATTATCTTCTACGTGGATTATTAGATGACATGTCATCGTGTTCCCGTTAGTTAACAACACACGTCACTAGATTTTTAACGGAAGGACCAAATTGGGGTAAAAATGGTAAACAGTAAGGACTAAATCAGGGATTTTTTTTAGTTTAGGGACCAAATCGAGGGTCCGTACAATAGTTCAGGGACCAAAAAGGGGTTTTAACCTTTTTTTTAACAAGTACAATTTAGAGTAGAAAATGAGAAATATCATAGCATTACCTTGGCTTGAATTTTGATCATTATTAAGGTATTAAAAATATCTAATAACTAGTTTATGAGACTTGATTTTTTTTTTCTTTGAATATGGGGGAATGTGGGAGAATAAAAATAATTTGACTGCTATCGTAGCAGATAAAATTTTAGTAAATATCAAAAGTTCAATGCATTTCAATAAAGACAACCAAAACTACAAGTGTGACTTGATGTGTATTTTTTAATTGAGTATAAGAATTATGAATTTCTTAAAATATTTTTAACCAAGCCTTCCACACATGTTAACTCATTAAGACTATTATAATAATTTTAATTTATGAATTTTACATTAAAAATATAATTTATTTTATAAATTTATAAAATATTTCAATAAATAGTAAAAAAGTAATTTTAATAAAAATATTTTAATTAATTTATAAAATAACCTGCATTATTAATATACAACATGCCTTATAAAAACAAAATTTTTATTACTAATTCAGTCACTTGAAAATGATGGTAGGAGGAAACGAAAAAAAAAACAAGGAACTTTTTGAGGGTCAATAAGAAAAGGGGAAAAAGGAAGGACTTCCTAAAGTTGGTTCGCACTTTTGAAGCAGGGATTTATTTATTCAAACTCTGAAAACCCTAATTTCAGAATCAGAGAAAACCTGCAGCGAGCGATGGACGATTTCTATGTCTCTCAAGTTGCATACCAACACCTCAAAACCACCTACAGACTTAATTATGGCGACAATTTCGCATTCTGGAAAGTCAAAGTAAAGATGGTGCTAACTGATAATTGCGTCCAGTACGTCCTCACCACACCAAAGCCTTCCAAGGAAGACGACGCGGCGCGACACGACAAGTGGGTTGCCGATGACTTCACCGCCCGCCACATCATCCTGGGTTCTATCCACGATGATCTTTTCATGAGTTATTCCGAACACGAGACGACCAAGTCGATGATGGACGCCCTCTCGGCTTTCTTCACGAAGCCATCCCTGGGCAAACGCATGGCTTTGCTCCAGCGGTACATGAGTCACCAAATGAAGGGAGGGACGAGCATTAATCAACATGTACTGGAGATGGATAACATGGCGATGGAGCTGGAACGGGAGGGAATGAAGGTCCCTGAGGAGATGCAGTCGGCGGCTCTAATGAACAGCTTGCCGAGCAGTTGGGAGGATGTGATAGTGAATATAACTACTGTCTTCGATTTTGACCGGAATGGTGAAAGTACAGGATTGAAGAATGTTAAAGACAGATTGAAGTCTGCAGGGGCAAGGAAGGATTTGAGGGCTCGTAACCTTGAGCGTGACAGCGAAGAGAATTCTTCCATGGACAATTCCACACAAGGTTTTAATGGGAAATGTTACCATTGTAGGCGGGTCGGGCACCGTCGAGCTGATTGTTCTTTGCTTTTCTAGGTAAATTTATTTGATGCTCTGTGCTTGTCTCTGAAAATTACTCATCGATGATGGTGAATTATTATTGTGCAAACTGCAAAGTCTATCTCTCTCAAAATTAATTCATCAAATTAAATGCTTGGTTGTAGAATATTGCTAGTAGTTGTAGGATTGAGGAACTGAGGAAAACAAACTGCCAATTTATAGTGGTTTTTATGGTTGAGAATTGAAGAATTGATCTTATCATACTATGGATTAGGAAACAATAATGCATGATTGTATCTGCATCCTTTCTTGTTCATTATAATTGTTGATTTTCAACGTGATTTACCCTGTAATTCTTTTGATTTCTATCTGGTTTAAATTCAGGGTCCTTGTTTTCCTGTCCAAGGCCGAAGGAGTTGCAGTGAGTTTGGAGATTAGTCAGTTGATGGCAATGCTGAGAGTTTTTGTACGTTCAATCTCACACTCTTGACTATTAAGATGTTTTTTTTTTTTTTTTTTTTTTTTTTTGGTGGTTTAGTTAAAGCTAGTTACATAACAAAGGGATTGCTTCATTGCATTCAACTGGTTAAGATATAATTGCAATTTGAGGCCTTGTGTGATCTTTTTCTACATTGTCTAATTCTTGCACTATTGTTGTTGGCATCTAAAAACAAAGAACATGAGATCAGGGAAGGTGATCTTGAAAGCTTCTGAAGTTGAATTGATATTTATGCGAGAGCCCCAACCATCTTACCATTCTCAACCAGAGTGAAGCCACCTCCCTCATCATCTTTAATGAGATTTTTGCTCAGGATTAGGAAAATATCGAACTAGGAGTTTGTGAAGGTTTGACATGTGAGTCTCAATACAAGGTGAGCACCTTTAGGACTAAAATTTCCTTGAAGCTGCCCTATCAGGAGAAGTGGAGGGAGAGGATAGAAATGTTGTTTCACAACTAGGTGGCTCTTTTGCTAGCTAGATAATGAAATTCTGTTAGGGAGCTTTCAAACTATATGTAGTGAAGTTTCTTGAGTTTTGAAAGTTCAATTTTGAATTTCTCCATGATTTTCTCTTTTGTTGTTTGGATATTTTATTGGTTTGTCAAATCTTTTTCTGTAATTTGTAAATCTGTATTTTGCTTGTGTCGCACTACATTTAGGAAATTTGTTGTAATCTGCTGTATATATATCTTTAATGGAAAGTACAACTCAAGTCATTGAGTTTTTATTCAATTTACAAAGTTGAAGTTCAAGCAACATTAGCATTAGGTTTCTAATGAAAGAATCAAACCAAAGCTTGAATCAAGGACTTAAAAAACGTGGTCTTTTCTTTTCTTTTCTTTTTTTGGGTAAATAAAATCACTTACCTTTACCACTTTTTTTGGTAGCAAAGTTTGTGC